GTGTAGCTCTGTGGTAGAGTGCTTGCCTAGCAGATGAGAGACCCTGGATTCAGGCCCCAGCACGGCAAAGGAAAAGAAAAACGCTGTGGAGGAATTGACAGGTTTATTCTTCATTGCCACAGCAGGCTTCCCACCTCTCATTAAAATTTCAACTCTTATAATTAGACATAATTACTCCAACAAGTCAAAAAGCAGCTAAAATTTACTTTGCCACATAAAATTCTGAATAAGCTGAATAAAAAAATTGGTTAGAAATGTCATCATCTCTTCATGATAGCGCATAAGTAGGAGATACATGAGACTCAGCACATAGCAAGAGGCACAGAAGTTTCTCAGAGCCCTGACACACATCCCAGCACCAATACCCTACATTACATAGGCACAGCCTTCCTGTCTCTGGCAGGCAGCATTGAGTATAAGGACCAATGTATGTGTTGCATGTCAACAGTATTAGGTAGAAAAATTTTTTAAAAATGAAACTTTTGAAGTATATGTGAAAACAAATGGAAATACTTCTTAATAGTGATCGAAAATATTATTTACAAAATGCCAAAATAAAATATAAAGAAAAATAGCAAAAAAAAAAAAAAAAAGCTGTGCAATAATACAGGTACTAATTCTCTAATTCTATTTTGGAGATGGCAATAACTGGAACCTTAACCTTCCATCAGAGCAAGCCCGCACTTCTACACCAATCTGTACCCCCAGCACGTGGTGTAGGAGGCAGGATACACACAAAACAGGAAAGTAGGTGTTGGAGTCAGATTGTCTGCATGCAGCCCTCAACTGTATCAAATACCAGCGTGTGACACTGAGTAACTTATGTAGCTTCTTCTACCTTAATTTTTCATTCTATAAAATGGTACCTACTGCTAGAACCTTTAGCTGTTTGCCAGGCACTATTTTTAAATTTTTATTTTTAACATATGTTGCTGTCCTGGGTATTAACCCCAGGGTGTTTGCACTGAGTTACAGCCTCGGTCTTAATTTTTTATTTTGAGACAAAGTCCCACCAAGTCATTAAGCTGCCCAGGCTGGGCTGGAACTTGCGATCCTCCTGCTTCCCTGTCCCAGAGTGCTGGGATTACAAGCATTTGCCACCACACCCAGCTACTTAAAAGCATTTTTCATAAACTTATTTGCTCATGTATTTCTCTTCAAGCCTTTTGAGAAAGAGACATATCTCAACTGAAACATGAAGAAACAGAAGCTCAGAAAAGTGAGTAACCAGCCGAAGGACACGTGCAATTAGTAAGTGGCAAAAAGGTCTCATGTTCTTAGCCACTCTCGCATCCTTGAGGTAACTCCAAGCTTCTGATTGTCTCTGGCATATTATACATGTTCAATAAGTAACATGAATATATGCTAATACATGTTTACCAAATAGTCACAAAATCCTGTGAGCTCAGCAGGAAAACAACCACTATGATAACTGGTGACACAGGCAAATTGTATAATATGCTTATGATCACACATGTGCCCCTTTTCACTTACAACAAAGAATCCTAGCGTCTGACTTCCTGAAATTGTCCTGTCTCCATCTCAGGATCCCTTGGATCCTATGTTGTTCTCTTGGCACCAGACACCTCCACTCCTGCTTAGCTGGCAAAGTGCTCTTACAATAAAACTTTTCATCACTTGTTTCCTTTCAAGGAACCTATACCTGGTTACCACATCAAATCGAAACTGAACCCCTGGCTTGCAAGAGTTTTAGTATGCCGTGGAGGGGAAAATGCCTTTAACTTTCATCAAGTGCTCAAGTGTCCATTTAGCAAAGAAATACTTGATATGAATGACCACATTTCATTATAAATGAATAGCAGTTTCTGTGCTACTTCAGAACTTTGAGTAATTTTATTTCAACTACGTATTTTTGGACGTAGCTCAATGAAAAGGTGAATGTTTCATTTTACTTCCATTCAAAATAAAATAAACTTGATCAGAGAAGTACATAAAAGAAGATAAAATTTTGCATTATTATTATATACAACTTAAATCTAGGTAAATTTTAGCTAAGTTTCTAATCTTTCATCTTGAAATTAGATCCTAAATCACAGAGAGAATCTGTAATATTTGCAGGTAAAGCCAAAAGAAAAAGAAAGCAAAACACCTTAATATTCCAGATTAAATAATGTGCCCATTTCCAAAAAAGGCCCTTGAAAAGTTAACTAAAGCAAACCAAAACATAGGAATTACTGGTGCTTTTAGAAAAGAGTGCTTTTAGTAAACACAAGTTACTTAGTAACCACCAGTCTGAATTAATGCCTCTAAGCTAACCACATCAATAGACAAAAATAACATACTTTCATTTGAAGAGAATCAAATGATACAGGTTTTGAAGACATAGCAACTCTCCAAATGTTCCACTGGCCCTTCCACTGACATGAGGTGATGCAGGATTGTACTAGAAGTTCATTTGATTTGCTTAGAAATGCAAATATTTCTGACAAAAACCACATCCAGATGTAGCTACATCCAGACTGTTCCGTAGTTGAATGTTCTGATGTCAACAGGATTTCTAAATGTACACTCACATCTAGTTGGAAAGTTCACATGTTCAGATAGCTGGAATAAGCAACTCTACAGGTACTAAAGCAGGGGGTTTTTGTTTTGTTTTGTTTTGTTGAAATTGTTATTGTTCCTTCCCTTGGGGAAGTTCGTCTTCTTAGCTGAGTAAATATCAACTGGGCTTCAATTTGGTGAAATGTTTGTTGAGTCACATAAAGTCATGAGTAAAAGAAAAAAAATCAATAACAGAAGTCAGTGTAGATAGGTCTGGAAGATAAAGGCATTCTAGAATTTGTTATTCATTTGACAAATATTTTTTGAACAGCTGCAATCCATCAGCCCCAAGGGATGGAAAACCGTCTAACATTTTCAGGGATAATCATGAGTCATTTCTCAGTTTCCATTGAAAGCTTCTTATAAATCTTTCACGGGGTTAAGAAAAAATTATGACATTAGAAAGAATCACAAATCCAGCAAAATAATTAAAAAGCCTCTAATGGCCAAATGCACTGGCCAGGAATCCGGCCCTTGGTACTGACCAGGCAGCATCTGTGTTATTTCCTCTCTCATTTTGGAGCAAGAATTATCAGACTTTTCTCTAACAGGCAACCTCTCACTCCGTGGGTCTTAACTGTAAGTAGGCGTGGGAAGAGTCCTTAAAGGAAGGCTATGATTAAACTGAGTTAAATCCTATGTCCTAAAGGTAAGAAGAAGATGTAACTACCGTTAACAATTCTTTAACTAGTTTTATCAGTCCTTTCCAGGAACCGATCCCAGACACACCCTCTCTCCAGGAACAAATCTTTCTGCTGAGGGTCTCCTCTTTCTAAGCCCCTCCATGGCAATAAGAATCAGGGATCCAAAGGTGGAATCTTTGCAAACAAAGCAAACAACTCCCTGTGTGTATGCTTGGACAGAAATTACGCAGCCAGTTCGTTTTCCAGGCAGGTTCCAATACTATGTCATGGCTTTGAAGAGTGTATTAGAGTCAACGGTTAATAAACAGCATACTTTTTAAAGACAATTTGTGTTAAAAATAAACACATATTTATAGCACAGCTACAAAATGGCCAGTGTAATCCAGTTGTAGACTACATTTCTGCAGTTCATTTAGCATCCGTGCTGAAAACTTAGAAGTGCCAACTGACACAAGAACCGGAGAAGGAAAACACACATACAGTGGTTTAATCTCTACGGAAAAAGCGCTGTCCGCGGGCGGGGGCTGTGGCTCTGTGATACCCGCTTGAGTGAGGCCTTCGGTTCACCACAAGCACTGTAAAAATAAATAAATAAACAAAAACCCCACTCTGCCTCCAAAACTGAAACAGGAAACCAAACATTTGGGTGTGATTTATCTGCTGAAACAAACCTGTGTACTGACCTTGACGGGGCCTTTAATCTTGAGACCCCCAGCGAGCCTCCTAATATCCACTACAGTTCTGGAAATGCTATGAAGCCCCAAATTTCATTTTGTTTTCGGCAATCAGCAAGAGGCTTGGAAAGCACTGTGCCTCCTGGGCCTTACTTTAAAAGATGCCTCTCTCACTGTCTACCACACGCTGACTTCCAGAAGGCGAACCGCCCGCCTTACCCCCACCCCACAACACTGGACAGTTTTTCAGTCGTCCAGATTACATGAATCAAGCTGGGCGTGGTGGCGCACGCCTTTAATCCCAGCACTCGGGAGGCTGAGGCTGGAGGATCGTTGTGAGTTCAAGGCCAGCCTGGGCTACAAAGTGAGCTCAACACTAGCCTGAACTGCAGAGCGAGACCCTGTCTCAAAAAATAAAAAAAAAAAAAAAAAAAAAAAAACAGATTACATGAATCATTTATTCCTAAAGTCATTTTCTTCTTGGTCATCAACAGGGTGAGGCTGCTTTAGAGTGTTCTGGAAAATTACATCTTAGTGACATCCCACTTTGTGCTTTGCGCGGGGAGAGGGGGTATTCAGCTCATGTTTTTCTGGGAAGAGAAAATGTTTTAAGAGGGAAAGTAAACCTTTCTAGAAAGGCGCCCGCGCACGGCAAGGCCGGTTTCTCCAACCCTCGCCGCTCCCTCTTTACACCACAGCCAGCGCGGAGGTCTCTCCAAAGGCCGACATCATCCCCGAGACAGCATCCCGAAGCTGAACCAGAAAAGCACGCGCACCCGCGCGCAGGTCACCGTCGGAGCCCCGCCCCTCCTCCCCGGGCCGCGGCTCCTTCCTCCCAGGTCAAGGTGAAGCTAACCCCGAGGGCGGCCAGGGCGGGCGGGAAGGAAGCGAGCGGTAGGCACAGCCCGGCGAGCCCACGGCCGGCGCGGCCAGCGGAAGGGACCGAGCGCGCGGGCCACCAGGCGCACGCAGCAGGCACACGCGCGGCGCGGACACCAGCACACCTGGGGCACAGCACACGCGGGGCACAGCACAAGCGCGGACACCAGCACACGCGCGGGCACCAGCACACGCGCGACGTGCACACGCGCGGACACCAGCACACGCGCGCCGAACTCACCAGCAGCCCTCGGCGTCCGCAGCTCTAGTGGGACGGTGACTGCGAAGGCTGCCCGCGCCTGTGCCTGGCTTGGGCATCCGGCCTCCGCTCCAGCCCGGGCCGCGGGGGCTTTCGGGGGAAGGCGCTGCAGCCGGGCGCGGATGCAACCCGGCTCTCCTTGGCCAATTGAAGATTCGCCGGTTCCACTCTCTGGGGTCCCCGCCTCCCCTCTTTCTCCTCCTCCTCGTTGCCCGCCTTCCCAGGCCCAGGGGACAACGGCGACCTTGCGAAGCCACTCTCAGGCCTGCGGACTGAGACCCCGCGGCAGCTCTCTCTGCATCAGCCGCCGCCGCAGGAAGAGAAATTGTCGCTGCGAGCAGCCCGCCTCCCCGGCCAGGCCCGGCCCCGGCCCCCGGGCGCCTCCCCGCCTCTGTCTCCTCCCCCATCTCCCGCGGTCTGCAGAGAGAGCTCGCAGGTGGCAGCAGGTCCCTGCGGACTGCCTAGGGAGAGAGCGAAACGCCTGGGTGCGACTTACTCATCTGAAAGCCGCGTGTCTTCTGCTCAGCCTGGGACCCCGGCGCCCCTCTGCTCCCTCAGTTTCACCCAGATGGACAGGAGTGGAGACGGAGACCGCAGAGCACGCGAGCCAGGGGGCAGCCGGATTCGACCCCGAAACTGGCCTCGGATTGCGTTTTGGTGTAAATCCCATTTATACCTCATGTAGGAATTCCGTTTTGAGATTTAGCCATAACGGATACACCCACCATAAAACACTTCAGCTCCCTCTCTTCCCACTTTCGTGTACACCAGAAACATAAATATTGCATCTTCTGGATGTTATTATGTTACTATCAGACAGTGGATAGTAACGCTACGGATACATAGGACTGCTATGGTCCCCCACTGTGCCAGGCATTGGGCGCATGGAATCTTGCTGATCTGCCACAGCCCTGCATATAAAAGTTACCTTCATTTATTTATTTATTTTTTACAAGTAGGTTACAGAGAAGCAAAGTTATATAGCTCAGGTTACTCACCTAAAAATAGTAGAAATTGAAAGTTCAACTCTGATCTAGGGGTAAAGCACAAAACCAGTGTCTGATCTCACAACAAAAGGTGTTTCTATTGCTTGAAAAGGTTCTATTAAATTGTGACTTTTAAGAATACTGCTGCTACTAGATGAAATTCAGGCACTTTTCTTGAGCATGGTTGGGAGGCTTACTCGCATGTGTGAGAAGGGATTACAGAATGGCCCAGCGAGACATCGGCTTCTCTAAGAAGGCTTTTCCTCTGGAGACCGAACTTCTAGAGCTGGTTCTGCCACCAACCCAGGTACCTGGTCTTAGGCATTTCCTCTTCTTGGGCATCATCTTTCTGCATTGGTTTTTAAAAACCAGGACCATTAATTTTTGCAGCCAAGATTTTAAAGAAGCAACGGTGTTATTTTTCTGATTTTGAATTTGATTTCACATTGTGAATTTGGTTCCACATTTAAAATCAGGAAATTTAACAAAAATTCAAATTTCTTGTATTTTCTGAGAAGTTGTAAGATTGGGCAACGTTTGGTCCATGGTGTGTTCTATCAGCTGTCAGCTGGAGGTGAGGTAGCAGGTGTTCCCTGTAGACTCTGAGGGTGCTTGTGGGTTCCCCACTTCCATCACTTCTCATACATCCCCCACCTCCCTGACACATGAGGCTGTGGTAAGTATTCGAGTTTTCAGAGCTGGGCTTAATAATCTCATGATTAACTAAGCAATGTAAAATTCAATGGTAATTAAGCAGGCTATGCAGATTCCTAAAAAGTATTATGAAACAAAAAACTTCCACATTCATACTTACAGTCATCATTGATCATAAGTTCATGGTCTTAACTCCCTAGTATCCAAAATCCTTACACACAAAAAAAGCTAAGTGTGGTGCATCCCTATAACCCCAGCTATTTGGGAGGCTGAGGCAGGAGGATCACCTAAACTCAGAAGTCTACAGCCAATCTGGACAACATAGGAAGACCTTATTTCCACAAAGAAAAAAAACTCATAAAAGCCAATATGGTCCAACACTCACTGTTCCCTATCCTGGTAGTTGGGGGATCATCATGTGACCCAAGTTCAGCCAATCAGAGGCTCCTATATGGCTTTTGTGTCCAGGAACAGTAGGATGAGAAGCGCAGGTAATAGTGCCGGCCATGGCAGTGACCACAGTGTCCAAGTGGGTTGAGTGATGGGATCTGTTCTGATTCCTGCCTGTGTGGTGAGCCTGGTCCTCCAGCGTTCCTGCCTCTCTGGCTGCTACTCGATGGCCTTCAAAGACGTTTCTCCTTCCGCTAAGGCAGCCAGGAGTGGTTTTAGCGTTGGACACCGAGAGAACAGCAATTTTGGGAGGAAGTTCAAACTCTGTCTCTCGTCATTAATTCAGTTAATGCAGAGTGGGTGCAAATGTATTCATACAATTTTAGAAAATTTTAATGTGTCCTGTAGATTTCTTTGCATTTGTAAGATTCAATCTCAGTAATAATCAACTGACATTTTTTAAAGATAAGATTCCTTCCCTACCAAAGAGTCAATCTCAATGATAGTAAAAAACGAACATTTTAAGAGACAGGCCCAACCTCCACCTTATGCTTACACTTGTGAATATGCATTCCTTTATTACTGGTTAGAGTGCAGTGAAATGAGCTCTCTAATCTGGTGGTGTGCTTCTTATACCCTGCTGAAAAAGGAATTTTCAGTATGTTAACAAAAGTTGTAAAATGTGCATACCTCTCTACACAGTACTTAACTGCACTTCTAAAAAGCAATCTAACCAAAGGAAATCTGAAGCAAGGAATATGGTTTTGCTATTGGGGTATATATCAACTTAGGGAATGAAAACGTAATAGTAGGTTTTTAATATCATTGAAATTGCTATGATACAATGCAGTGTTAAGCAAACAAGGACACAGAATTGATATTCGTAATCTCAAAGAAGTAAAAGTATAGGAAAAGCTCTGGAAAATTTTGTTAAAACTACTTCTCAAAAATTACTTATAGACCTCCTTATACTTACCATAATTTGAATTTTCCTCCAAAGACCTTCTTTTCTGTAGGAAAAGAGATATTTAATAATTAAAAATGAACAGAATTTGCAGCCAGAGAAACATGAAGTTATGTTGACCACAGTACCTAATTTGTTACACATTTTTGAAAAGTGAGTGAAGGTAGAAATAACTAAGCGGGGAGGAAGAGAAGGCACATTATTTCACAAAGAAGCATGAGGAACCAGGGATTGTGACTCCTGTCACATCCTCAGTTGACGGCTTAGAAATAGGACACTGTGTTCTCAATTGCTTCAGCAAGCAATGCTGTATTTGAGTATTTCCCAGCTGAGGATGAGTGACAAAACATGAATACCTTTCTCACTGGATGAGAAATAATGAAGTCAGAATTTCAGATATTTTTCCCATCCCAGGGACAAGATCAACTCTGAGAAGCTGGGATTCTCAGGGCGTTGGTATTCAAGACAAAAAGTATCTCTTCTTGCCTCTGGTTGGTCATATCAGAAGGTTTACCACTCTCTTTGGGGACACCTAACAGCCTGGCTGAAGCATCCTGGTTGAATCTTAGTTCTTAAAACTGCTAGTACGAAAGGAAAGTATGCGTGACTGGACTTACATTAACCAGGAAGCCAAAGCCATGCTCATGTACTCCTCTGTTTGGTGCACGTGCACCAAGTGTGGTCCCCAGGGTGACAACCGCTCTCCCTGAACATTCTTGTTGACACCAGATGGGGTAGATCCTTCTTTGCTTCACGTTCAGCATACCCTGGCTCGGGATTATTTCTGAGTGCAATGTCTCCAGGTAAGGACAAACACTAAAATATCCAAATGATTTTATTGGAAGAAATATTTATCTCAGATATTATTGTGTATTTGAAGTATGTACCTCAGAAATAATTATATTCTGAAAAACTCCTTGTCCCCAGTTACTTTTCTTGCTGCTGAGACAAAATACCCAATACCCAAAGTTAAAGGAGGAAAGGTTTACTTAGCTCACCGTTTGCTGAGGTCTCACCCCATAAGTGTCTGGCTCCATAACAAGGTGGTACATGGCAGAGAAGCAATGGTTGGTGGTGGTGGAAGACAGCAAAAGCAACAAGGGGGAGGGAAAGACAGGAAAGGAGAGGGAAGGAGAAAGAGAGAGAAAGATGGAGGGAGACTTTCTGTCCCTTACATTGTACCCACTCTAGGGTGGGTATGGCACTCACACCCTTAACCCCAGCATTGGACCATGAATCAATCACAAACTCTGTAGATTCAGCTACCTCTGAAAAGCCTGGCCCCCATGACTTCATGAGGCTGTAGAGGGAGCATCTACACCCAAACCATAATGCTCCTGCTCTTAAAACTCTGGATTTGTTGTGATTTATACTAGTAATTCTCAAAGTATGGTCAAGGGGTCTTTGAAATCCTTTCAATCTGCAAAGTCTAAACTATTTTCATAAAGGTATAAGCACATTATTAGACCTTCTCACTCTCCTCCTCCCATAGATTTGCTGTAGAGAGTGGTAGAATGTATGCGTAATGTTATAACAACTTGAAAGCAGATGCATGGTGGCTCCCAGAGGGTGGGCCCCCAGTGCACAGGGAGCCTCGGGTGGGGAGCGCCGGTCTTTTGGGGTCTTCGGACCGGCGACTCACTCCCGACCTCGTCGGTCCCCGGAAGGAGGGCTTCCGGCGCACAGGGAGCCACGGGTGGGTAGCGCCAGTCTTCGGGCTGGCTAGCTTCCTGCCTGGTGGCTCCCGGAGGGTTTGACCCAACCATATGGGGAGCCATGCGGCGGCGAGCGCTATTGCGCGCCAGCCCTCAGGCCGGCCACCGCTGCTTAATTGAGATCTATCATGACACAGAGAAACAGTGACACAATTGGCCCACCATGCACTGGCTGCAGCTGCCCACCCA